TTTTTTGGTTTTTCGAGACAGGGTTTCTCTGTGTAGCTTTGCGCCCTTCCTGGAACTCACTTGGTAGCCCAGGCTGGCCTCGAACTCACGGAGATCCGCCTGGCTCTGCCTCCCGAGTGCTGGGATTAAAGGCGTGGGCCACCACCGCCCGGCCCTTTCTTTCTTTTTTTAATGAAAGCAGTTTTTACTGTTTATTTGTTGTGGCTCTGGAGATGGAATCTCAGCATGCTAGGCAAACACTCTATCCTGGAGCAACACCCACAACCTCCTCTTGCTCTTTATTTCGAGACAGCATCCCATTAAATTATCCAGGCTGCCTCTGCCAGGTGCCATCCTGTGTAGATGTGGTCTAGATCATCTTTGCCATGTTCTCACTCTCTGCTTCCTGTGCACGGATGAAAATGTGATCAGTCAGCTTCCTGTTCCTGCCGCCTTTCCTAACGTGGTGGATTCCAACTCTCTGAAATATCCTCCCTCTTCCCTAAGTAACTCTTAGACATTGTATTTTGTCATAGCAATAGAAAAGTAACCAATATACTCCTAAATGTGAAAATTCAGAAATTCCAAAACTGCCCTTCCAGTTGGCCATGCCATGTTAGTCAACTTTCTGCTATTATAAAAATATGCCAAAGATAAAGCAGCCCAAAAGAGAAAGGATTTATTTTGGCTCCGCCCACAGTTATTTTGGACCCTGTGGCAAGGAATGTGTCACAGGCAGCCACTGGTGGGGGGCTGTGCTCCCCATGATAGCCCGGAAGCTGAGAGAGACTCAGGAAAAGAATAGAATGATGCTTCTCTTAAAAGGCACACCCCAATATCCTAAAAACTCCCCCAGTCCACCTCTTAATGGTCCCCATCATCTCCACTAGCACTAGACTGAGGTGCCATCCATTAAATGTGGGTCTTTGGAGGATATCCAAGATCCAAAGAGTCACACACACCGAAAATTGGAAGACAGATTCCATCCTCTGAGGAGAATCCCCAGATAGCCACAGAGAAGGACCACACGTTCAATCCCTCCCTCTTATAGGCTCATATCTTTAGGTTTTATTTTGTGGAAGAATTGAAGTGAACTAAGAAGAACTGAATTGTACAATCCATCTGGCTTCTTGCACAGATACCTGCAGTCCCTGGATTCTCTGCCCACCAGCCTCTACCTCCCTTTTTGTATTCAAAAAACACTTATCAAATGTCTAGACTGGGAGGTACAGGATACTCCACCTTGGAGGGACAATAATGAGTGTGCCCTGCTTCTGTGGAATACTGACAGGCAGTAAGGGACACAATAATCACACAGACACACAAAGATGTAATGAAACCCGTGACTTAGAACCAGACCCTTGACACGAGGTAGAAAAGGATGAGTAACGGCACAGGAAGGGTGGGAAAGTGGCTGCCAGGAGCCACGGTGTTTCTTTTTGGCCTCCGGTAAATATTCTGGAATTTGATAGTGGTGATGGATGTACAGCCTCGTAAATATATTAAAACCACAGACTTCTACGCATTTAAAAGTTGTAAACTTCATTGTATGTAAATTATATCTCAGTAAAGCTGTTACTAAAAAAAGAACAACAAGGACCCTTGATTAAGCTTGGGGAAAAAGCGGGGAGGAAGGAGGGTGTCCCTAAAAGGATGGCATTTGTGAAGAATCTGATGGGGGCAGAAGTGAGCCAGTGTGTGTGTGTGTGTGTGTGTGTGTGTGTGTGTGTGTGTGTGTGTGTGTGTACATGTGTCTGTGAAAACACGGTAGATCCAGGGAGAGGCAGCTAGGGGAACGTCTTTGAGAAAAGAG